CCCTGTCTCTAGGTAGAAGGAAGATTGTCTTTTTCCCCTGTAAGGTCAGATCCTAGACCAGAGTCTTCAGCTTTTTCCCATATTCTCTTCAGTACCTCTAGCAAGTCAATACCCTGCCCTTTATCCCTTCCACCAGTGATTCTGAGCTACTTCTGCTTTGGTATTGTTAGACATTTTGGGTGATATTGATAGGTATATTTGGTGATATTTACCCTCATAGCTGGAAGCCAGAGGGGCAGGAAAAATGATCAGTGACTTGGTTCTTCTCTATTATTTTAAGGTCTTTTAAATTTTGAATTACTTTCATGCCCATTAGGTATTTTCACTTTTATGGCTTCTAAATTATTATAGATCCAAACAGTTTTACTTTTTACCATCACTTACTTTCATCCTGGCTGAAGAACTTCAAAGTTTGCATTCAAAGTGTATAATGAACTGATAGTCTTAAGTAAACCTTAACTTATCTGTGTTTCAGTATGCATTCATAAAACATATATATATATATTAGGGAAGGGTCTGCAGCGTGTTTAGGGTCTCACTACTAGATTGGACTCATAGTGATTCTCCTGTTTACAGTCTCCCAAGAGCTTGGATTACAGGTGCACGCCACCACGCCCAGTCTCAATTGCTGTCTCAGTGCGCCCCTGGGGGAAGGGCTAGCACAGCAGGCCCAGGGATCGAACCCTTAGCCCCTGCACCTGCTTTCAGGTGCTTTAATCCACTAAGCTATTTGGCCGGCCCTCATAAAACGTTTATAATTAGAACATATGTGCCACAAATATTCTTAACCAAACTATAGTGCTAACTCCCCAAGGACAAAGCTCAGATCCCCATATCTTCCATCCCTTATACAAAATAGCTTCAAAATAAGTACTTTTGAAGAATGAATTTAATCAGCAGTTATTTATCTAATAGGCCAGCTTTTGCATATACACCCTCCACCGGATAATTTTTTTACGGTACCGAGAATTGAACCCAGGGCCTTCAAACTGAGCTATATCCCATGTCATTTTCATTGTTTGTTTGTTTATTTGTTTGTTTTGAGACAGGGTTTCACTAAGTAACTAAATTGGCCAGGCTAACCTGAAATTTGCAATCCTCCTGCCTCAGCCTCTCAAAGGCTGTAACACCAATCCTGGCTTCATCAGATAATTTTCACTTTGGAACTAAGTGAATTTGCTTTGGGAGTTACTGCTGCCATAGCACTGTATAGCATGCTTTATATAGTTTATTTTGAAACTCATTAGAAGCTAAGGCAAAAGATCCTTTCAGTATGCCTAACTTTTTCTGAATTTCCAAACAGAATAGTATTTTCTTTTCACAGAGGTAACATGAGCATTTGGTATGGTAATTACTTCTAATTCTTCCATATCCCTATTTTGGACCCTTGGGTCTAGCTGTCTTGGAGAAGTAAAAAGGAAGGTATAGGATGAGAATATATTTTACAGAAAATAATTTAATCTATTCAAGAGGTTCAGGCAGTAATTACCTTAACATTTGAATATCGGTATGTAAATATGGCACAGATATATTCTGTATGTGTGGGAAAGTTTATAAATCTGATATTTTTCATATCAGCATATGAATGAACCAATTTGTCTAATTGAAGATATTAGCCATAATTTATATGAGAGAAATCAGAGTTATGTGAGTATCTATTTTCCCAAAGCTAATTTGCCATCTTTCCTTAAGAGACAGGATACTTATTAAGAAGGAATTAAGGCTCTTGCCATTAAACATTCTTGTTTTTATTTAAAAGTATATCCATTTTCCATCTTTTTGAAATGCATTTAGCTGTATCACAACATTGTTTATGGGAAATTATTAGACACTGAAATTTGGATCTTTCACTCTGTAAATGTAGAATCTTTTCCTAGCTACATAAACCTGTGTCTCTTGAGTTCATTGCTACAAGGACAACTGATATCCATTTTCTTGAATACCATTTGGTACATAGATGGAAAAGGACCTTTCATACAGCCATGCTTAAAAGAATATATGCTTATTTGTGGGTTTTCTGCATAATATAATCCTTATTTGCCTTTTTCATTTTTCAGAACTATTTCTTTTGCTTGTTATACTTTTTTTGTATGTCGTCTATATCTTCCATAAATTCTAAGACACTATCACTTAACCTGTTCTTCTATCCACTTTCTCTTCTTAATTTGAAGCAGTGATGTGAAAATAATGGTGCTTATGTCTTTGTAATGACAGAAATTCCTTTGTCTGCTCTTGAGACTCATTTTAATCCTCAGTGACTCACATTTAAGAAATGAACTGTGCAGTTGTAGTGGAGCTAAGTCCTTGGCAACAATCTGAGGGCAAACAAGTGTTGTCTCACAATGGATGGCCCTTAGCCTTGAATTATTCACTGTTCCCTCATAAGAATGGGATTGTATCATCAGATAGTATCTGGGACTTTCTCAGTTAGATGAGACTTTAAGGCCCACTTTCTTAATGAATGAGCCCACTCCAATAGTTTTTCCTGCTTTCTCCTATGCACGCCTTTACTAGATCTTTTCCTCCCGGTCTGATCAAATATGCTGGTTTTGTATAGATTGTCCAATTTTCCTGAATCTCTTCTAGTTTTTAACATTGAAAATTTCCCAGGACCAGGGAGATAGCTCAGTAGAATAAGTGTTTGCCTGGCAAGCGCAGGGTCCTGAGTTCAATCCCTGGTACCCCAAAGAATGAAAAGAAAGAAAGCTTCCCATCCTGAAAAATGAAGTGCTTAAAAACCAGTTCATTGATTATTCTGTGGCTAGTTTCCATCTGCTGGTCTATATTCAAGTCATTATCCTAAAAACAGCAGTGCTTCCCTTGTCTTATTACCTTTTCTCATTCTCTTCTCTCTCTTTCTATTCTGAAGGCAAAAAAGATATTGAACAACAGTTTTCACTGGAATACCAACTACCTCTTCTTCTATTCCTTCATCAAGTAAACCTACTTCTGAGGTTATTTTCCTGCCCTAAAATTGTTCTCCCAAGTCAGATGGACACTTTTCCATCCAGATCCGGCTTTTCCTCTCTATATTACAGTTAGATGCTCTTGAGACTCAGTCTTTCTTTAGGAATTCTGTACTCCTTGTTTTCCCCAAACTCCCTATCTATCTATTTCATTTTGCTCTTTCATGAGATCTTATTTCTCTACCTGCTCATTTCATGTCAGTACATAGGTGCTCAATGTATACAAGATGAATGAAAATGACTCCTCAATCTCTTTTTGTTCTCCCCAAACACTTGACTTTATCCATTCCCTAGGATGGGTGTTACCTCTCTGAGCTAAGTAGTCACACTCTTGTCTGTTCGATATACAGAATCCTCCCTGGCTTAATGTTGAGGTTTTAATACTGGTCTTTAATAATTTTATCCTGAACGCACACAGAGGCCAATCTATTTTACTTCCCTTACAGTAAATATTGTTAACTACTCCTCCTTTGTCCAAAAAATAGCTCCTAGGGTGATATGATGGATGTTATTAAAAGTTTTCCTGTCTGAGTGGCTGAGTAATTCATAGACAAAGAGATCAAGAAATGTTATTTCTCTTTGCATCTAAAGGAGGAGGTAGCCATCCTCTTCTCCTCTGGAAAGATTCTTTCAGGAGATCTAATGGACTTGAATCTAACTCTAGCATTTTAAGGAGCCAGCTTGCTAACCCCCCTGTATCAGGTTTTGCAATGGACAAATAGACTTCCAAGTCTGGGCTTCAGAGTTTTTGAAGAATAATTACTTTGGGGAAAAAAAGCTATCGTCCTTCTGACAAACTGAAGCTTGAGTTAGGAGCATGACTAGGCCTTAAGCATTTGGCCTGCTTAGACAAGAGAAATTTGAGATATTATCTACTAGATGGCTACAGATCTAATTAGCATGGCATGGGAAAGTTCTGAAAAGACTATAGGTTTTGCAGGTGTGCTGAGCAATCCAGGAAAATTCAATTGCTCACACTTAATTGCATCTACCATTTGCTCAATTACTCAGTCTGAAACTTGGAATCCTTGTTCCTTCCTCTCTCTTAGCTCCAGCAACTATATAGTCACCAAATCTACCCTCCCTCCCTTACTTCCTACTTCCCCCTCTCTTTTCTTCCTTCCTTCCTTCCTTTCTTCCTTCCTTTCTCCCTTCCTTCCTTCCTTCCATCATTTCAAGCTGAGGATGGAACCCAGGGCCTTGTACGTGCTCGGAAATAAAACCCACCACTAAGCTACACTGCCAGACCCCATAGCTTCCTTTTTTGTCCAGTAACTTCTTGATGGTAGAAATTATGCACCTTGCTTTTCTCTTAATCCCCTGTTTCAAGAATGATTATGAGTTAGAGATTACTAGGCTAGCTGCCTTTAGACACCTTTGTGGTCTATTAATTACAAAAATTTATTTCCACACTTCTTACATCCATTATAGCTCAAAACATTTCTAATATTCTTTGAGAGCTCACCATGGTTAATATAATAGTTATTTTCTGAAAGTATTGACAGTTTTCGCTTAATTTCCTTTGAATATAATGTTTTGCTCACTATCAGACATTTTGGCTGAATTAACTGGTGTTTATCAAATGAATTGATTGCATATTTCAAGACAGCCTAAATTCCTTCCATGGCAGTTAAAGCTTCCCATTGTGTTCTGGCTATCCATTGCATTGGGTGTATTTAAGTGCTTATTAACCATATTAGCCTTTAAAATATATAACTTGTAACTTTAGATCTATATTTCAAGTTTGATAGGCTTATTAAACAAAGCACTCTTATCTTAAGGAAAAGGGATCAACTACCTTGAAACTTGAACACCCCCTGCCCTTTTCCCCAGAATAATTTTATAAATATAGTAGTTTCTTCATTAATAAAAAGACCTCAATAGCCTTCTTCATCATTTTATGACTATCGGTTTATAAATAAGAGAGATAACAATTGACCTGGGAGTTTTATAAGCAAGTTCTGAGAACCCAGGATTAATTTTGAGAAGAATGCCACAAGCCAAATAAGCATTTCTTTTCATCTCATTTCACAGGCCTTCAAGAGGGAATTGAAAACTAAAGAACCTGTAATCATGAGTACTCTTGAGACTGTACGAATATTTCTGACAGAGCAGCCATTGGAAGGGCTGGAGAAACTCTACCAGGAGCCCAGAGGTAATTGAATGTGCTACTGTAATAACATATTGATAGAAAGATCAGCAGCAGCAGAGCAGCCCATCCATTCTTGCTGCCAAGCACTGGATAGCTCTCATATTTTCTAGGTTAAACAGAATCAATTCAAATTAAACATAGATGTTGAAAAAGAGTGAAGAATGATAAACTACCATGCATAAGTCTGTTTTCACAATCGTGAATAAATATTAAAAGAAATTAGTGATCAGTTATTGAAACACTTAGAAATTAATAAACAAAGGACTTTATCTGTGAGAAGGAATTCCATTATTACAAGAATTACAAGCTAATTTTCAATTTCAGTCTTTTTTCAAGACTAAAGTGATTTGGAGCTTATGTTCTATACCCTAATTTTTTTGCCCCAATAGCTTAAGTAAATCTCGGATGATCTGATTGATATAAGGTAGAAAAGATTCACTGTGGAAGATAGACTTTAGATGTGCTGGACTGTATCACAATTCATGCCAAAGTGTAAAAGAGCCATTAATCAGTAGTTTGGCCTCTTGTTAAACTGTACTTGCTTTCTTTCTCCCAGTCTGACCTTTTCAACAATGTTGTTTTTTTAAAACAAAAATGAATGTGGCCTAAAACCTTGTCATATTGCCAATTTAGAGCTGCCTCCCGAGGAGAGAGCCCAGAATGTCACTCGTCTGCTACGAAAGCAGGCTGAGGAGGTCAACACTGAGTGGGAGAAACTGAACCTACACTCTGCTGACTGGCAAAGAAAAATAGATGAGGCCTTGGAAAGGCTACAAGAACTTCAGGAAGCTACAGATGAGCTGGACCTCAAGCTGCGCCAGGCTGAGGTGATCAAGGGGTCCTGGCAGCCTGTGGGCGATCTCCTCATTGACTCTCTACAAGATCACCTCGAGAAAGTCAAGGTACTGTCTACTGCTTTGCTCCAGAGCCCTTTAAGAGATTCAGCAGATGTTCCCATCTCACTTTGAGTGGTGTTTGCCTCCCACAAAGTTAAAAATAGTGCTCTTACTTAGGTAGTAGACATGAGTCCATCTTGCACCAATTCAGACTTCTTCCACATGGTGTTTTCTCCAAGAAAAGATAGTAATATAATCATTTGCCAATCTTTAGTGGTACAAAATGAAATGTTAAAAAGTTACAGGAACAAAAATTGCCATTAAAGAATCAATTCAATCATACTAAAAAAATCTGATATATGCTATGCGTAGGTCCACCTGCATACACGACTATGTTGCAGTGAATGTGTCCTTTGGGTTACTATCCGAATACAGAAAAATGTAGCACTTGTCAAGATCCACAAGTTTTTACCTTTTTTAACTAAGTTAGATGAGGTGCACAATTTATGGTGCTATGAATTTAGACCATGAGTGCTGCCCTTCCCTTAGAAGTTGTGTGTAGTACAACTCCTAGTTGTTTTATCTCACTGAAGACCTGAGGAAAAATCATTCTATATTTAGAATACTACTGTCCAAAGTTATCCTTTTATAAAATTAGGGGAAAATAAAATGAAAAAAAAGCTATCTTTTTGTGCCATATTGGTGGTATGTAATAGATATTCTTGGTTATCAACTCAGTTGGTTGGAGAGATTAGCAAGGTGCACTTGTGAGTGTGCCTGCGTGGGCATGAGGACCTGACCTTCAGGTCTATATCTGGCTCCTGGCCCCTTCCTCCCTGGCCCTTTTGTCTGCCTCTGGAGTGCAGGAATTGAACATCCTTGCTCTACCATGCTCTTCTGTCATGTTTCTGCCTTGAAGCCAGCTAGATATCAACTGAACACTCTAAAACTATGAACTAAAATAAACTTGTCCTTTAAATTACAGGTATTGGGAATTTTGTCCCAGCAATAGGAAAACTGACCAGATGTATGGTACATATACTCATAAAGAAATAATATAATTAGTATTATTTTGAAATCAGCAACTTTAAATATTTTGTGTTGAGTCATCCAGTGCCAGAACTGCAGAAATCATCCTAAAATCAAAGATTGATATGCCCAAATTCTAAGCCTTAGTTCAACTACTGATTATTTAAATGTTCACCATGTGAATGGGAATGGATGGCTAGCATTTAAGTCTCCAGTCAGAGTCTCTTCTCATCTCCTAACCCACATGGAATAAAGTCACCAATTATGCATTCTGAAGCCAAATACCTTCGTTCAGTTTTCCCAGGTCCTGGATACTGTCCTTTTCTACCTTTACTCTTTCTTGCATTTCCTATTTCAGTCAATGAATCATAATCCAAAAAGTTTCCCAGCCTGGAAATTTTAGGGTCATCCTTCAACTTGCTACAGTTTCACTGTCCACATGTGATTGCTTTACCTCAGAGTATCTTCTTTATATTTTTAATCCTTATTTCAACAGTATCCTGTTCCAATCACTCCTATCTTTTACTTGTGTGCTAACAGAATACATGTTTAAGTCATGTTCAGCAAAGGGCTGGCCAGATAGCTCAGCAGACTAAAGCACTATTTAGGCAGAGTGCAGCAGCTGAGGTTCAATCCCTGGTTTGCCATGGTGGCCCTGCCCGAGGGGCACACTGAGATGGTGGTTGAGACTGGGCATGGTGGCGCTCACCTGTAATCCCAGTGCTTGCGAGGCTGAAAACAGGAGAATCACTACAAGTCCTATCTGCATAGTAAGATGCCATAGAACCTTTACTAAACACTTAAAAAAATTTTTTAAATAGAAATTTTTTAAAAAGTCATGTTCCCCACTGAGCATGCTTGACATATGATAAACACTGCATTTTAAATATTTGGTTAATGAATGCACAGATTCTTGGCTGTTCTCCTGAAGTATTTCACCATTATTCAGCCTCTTCCAACTCTATCCAAACTCCCTGCAGGAGAATGCCTGTCTAGACAATGAAATCCCAAGGCTTCACTTCGCAAAGGAACGGTTCTCTGTCCATGCTACCACCCTTTTCCTACACCGTGTCATTATTTGCATAGCTTCCTACCTTTACGGATATTCCCTACTCAGGAATACTCCATGTCCTCTGCATGAGGAGCTTTTACTAAGCCCTCAAGGTCCACCCTAGATGTAATCTCCCTTGTCATCTCTCCAAATGTCTACCAATTCCAGCGTTAGCTGCTTTTAATTTGTGGCTTAATTTGTCACACATACATTTCACATATATTGATTGTCAACTTGATTGGTTGAAGAGCTTAGTAAAGCACACTTCTGGGTGTGCCTTTTGTCCCAAAGAAAGTAAAGTTTCTAAAAGGATCATAGTGTACTGTTTAAAATCCCCCGCTCCTAGCCAATGCCAGAAACATGTACAGAATCTCATTTACTATCTTATGTGTGTGGCGGGGCATGAGGGACATTGAATCCAGGGCCTTCACCCTGAGCTATAGCTCTAGATGTTTTTCTCTCTTTTTTTCTATTTGAGATGGAGTGTCACTAAGCAGCCCAACTTAGGCTCAGATTTGTGATAATCCTGCCTCAGGCTCCCAGAGTGTTAGAATTATTCAACATGGGCTACCATACTTAATTTCATTCAGTATTTTCATTCATTTGAAAGCAGATTATGGGCTGGGAAGCTAGCTAAGCAGCATAAGTGCCTGCCTGGCAAGTGCAAGGTGCTGAATTCTAACCCCGGTACTGCAAAAGAAAAGAAGAAAAAAGGGCATATTCTGAGCCACTGTACAATGTGCTGAAGATGTAGTTATAAAGAAAACGATCTTGATCTTTGTACTCATAAAGCCTACAGTCTAAGGTTCAATTACATAGCCCTGAAATAGTAGGTGAAGAATTTAATGGAAAAGCTTAAAAAATTGACTTTATTTCTAAAAACTCTTGTACCTCAACATTCTATGACCTCGTGTCTAACATTTAAAACAATAGCTTCAAAATTAAGATAATATTTTAAAATGCATTGTCATGTATTTGTTCCACATTAAATATAGTATTTTAGTCCACCAATCTAGGAACCAATTTTTGAAAGTCTTTCCAAAGTGAAAAATAAGTTCAGGAAAATATCCTGAAAGAATTACATTAGTTAAGAAATCAGCCCAATTATTGCGTACATAGGCAGTTTAATAAGCATAGAGAATATTTTAGCCATATCTGTCACACCAGGAGTTTTTGTGAGATATTAAATAAAGTGGAAATGGTAGATACCATGGTTAAATAATCAAAAATAACTAAAAGTAAAACAGTTCAAATGTCAACTGGACTTTATTCAACCTTAATTTTGGTATTTAATTTAGTTTCTTTAGATTCTCTGTTCTTGATTTCACATGGATTAATTGATGTCACTTTCTGGTCACAATAATGGTCAAATACATTGAAATTAACTATGCCCTGTTTAAAGAGCCTATATGTGGGGGTTTTTTTTGTTGTTGTTGTTGTTGTTTTGGCAGAACCGGGGATTGAACTAAGGCCCTTGTGCTTGCCAAGGAAGCACTTATTCTACCGAGCCATCTCCCCGGCCCCATATATGTGTATTCTAACACCCTGTCTCAAACATAGAGCCACTTAAATCCTTGTAGCTAAATATTTACGTACTTGTGATAATAAATGCAATGATTTCAGCTTCTAACCAGCATTCCAGCAACATTTTATAAATATTTTTAAATTATGGATTACATTAATTTATATACATTTATTCCTATTCAGTGGTTCTTCTTGAATTTTGTGGTAAAAATAAATTATTTTTCTCTACCTTATTGATACTAGGTCTGAAACTCTGAAGCTCTTCAACTAAAACTTATTTTCAAAATAAATGTTTAAAACCACTATTCCCATTTTTCTATTTAGCAGTTTAAACCCTGGGATGCTCAGTGCTGTTGAGAACTCCCAGCTGATAGCTAGGCTGCTAGCCAAAAGAATGTTTTATACAGCCATATCAATTCATCACCCCTAGTGACTCTATCGTAAGAGCACTCACCATTCTGAACTTAGGTATTTAAAGAGTTGTTAATCAAATGACTCCAGAATATATGTTCCTCTGGGACTTAGCATTCTATCATTTCATTAGCTAATGTGCCTTTCTGGTCGTAGAATAGGTAAAACAAAATCTAAGATCTTAGACTTTATGGAATTGTACTATTGTCAGCTGATTATTTGATGAAAGATGAAAAATTTGGTAGATCAAAACAACATATACACTGACTATTTAGCTCACCAAAATAAACTCGACTTTCTAAACACAGCTTCTATAGGAATAATGACAAGAATAAAATTTAAATTGTAAATGCCTCTTTACTCATGAAATTCATAATTTATATTGCTTATCAAATACTTTATGGACAGAATTATTATTTCTAACCTTACTGGAAATAACATAAATACTTGCTGGACTACAGAAATACATTGCTTTCCTTGTAATGGGAAATAATTCTGAATCATTACATGTTCTACATAGATCTCTAAGTGGATTATATAAAGGCCTTAATAAAGTAGAGTAAGGATATTTTTTCTTTTTCTTTTTTTTACATGGCACTTAAAGAGTAAAACCATGCTAAGCAAATGCTGTACCACTGAACTATAACCTCAGCCTTTTATCCTTCTTAGAATTATTTTTAGATATAAAGTCACACTATATTTTCCAGAATATCTTTTTTTTTTTTTTTTTTTTTTTTTTTGGTGGAACCAGGGATTGAACTCAGGCCCTTGCACTTGCCAGGGAAGCGCTTATTCCACTGAGCCATCTCCCCGGCCCCTATTTTCCAGAATATCTTGAGCTTCTGGGATCAAATGATACTCCTGCCTCAGCCTCTGGAGTAACAGACCAATAAGGTAGAATAATTTCTGAAGCTAAAGTCTACTTATATTTTTGTTGTTTAGAACAATTCCAATGTACAAATCATTATGGGCTGTTTTTCTTGTTCTGTGTAACCATGGTTTCTTCACCCAGAAAGTGGTGTATCATTCTTGATCCAGGAACATTTCACTA